TGCCGCACTTTCCAGGTCCAGCGGGCGCGTACTCCCCGGACGCGGCGTCCATGGGCTACATGATGGACGGCCAACAGCACATGTTCCGCTCAGACCCTTACACGGACCACGCAGCGGCCGCTGCCTACTACGGCCACCCAGCGGCAGCGTACAACTATCCCCACCATCTATAGGTTCGGTAGGTCTACGCCCTCTCTGCCGGTTGGTCACTTGCCTTTGTTTTTGGCCTCGATATAAATTTTTTTTTATTTTTTTGTCAGTAAAGCTGCACACCTTATATGCCTTCTAAGAAGCTGTAACGTTAGTAAGCTATGAAAGTTGTAACATTAGATTTGTGTAATACGTTGTAATTTGCAAGTCAATGATTTTGTAATTTGAATATTTTTGTAATAATAGGTTTTATAAGTTGTGTATTGTATTGCAGCGTGTAGCAGCGTAAGTAGGCTTGAGCGATGTGGTCCCTCACGCCGCGTGCAGCCCCATCCCCCTCCCCCCTCCCCCCGTGTCGAGTGGCCGAAGGTGTACAAGTGCGGCGGCCGCCGGCGGCAGAGAGGACTGTCAGCGCGCCGGCGGTGCCGGCCAGTGGCGGCGGTGTCAGAGAAAACAGTGTACATAAACCTTGGGTGTCTTGGTGAGTTTGTAAGCACGGCCAGGGGTGGCGCGGGCAGGGCAGGGCATGACACCCTTCTTCTCCTCCACACACGCCCGCCGGGTCGCTGTGAGGCTCGTCTCACCCCTCACCCCCCCAGAACACCACCGGCGCCAGCCCGTGTGTCTGGCGTATTCCGTAACGCCAGGATCAGGAGGGCGAGGCGCCAGCCCTCTCATGACGTCATACGGATCACAGCAGAAGGAGCAGCACCTCTCCATGACGTCACTGTAATCGACACCAACGTCAGCAGCATCGGCAGCAGCAGGAGTGAAGCGACGCGCCATCTTTGGTGCAACAGCTGCACTAACGGTGCGAGGTCCTCGTTTTGAACAACCTCTCAAGTGCCGCGTAGCGTCACATACCTGAACTAATTTGAAAGTGATATATGTAATTATTTTGCACCAGATTTTCGTTTTACGAACAATTCCTAAGCAATTAGAAAACAAAAACAATGGCGAATATTCAGTGCAGTGGTGACTCTCAAGAGAACATTAACGGTAAAAGCCACAATAATCCGCCAAGTACTCATAAGCCAACATCCACACCGAGATGCGCCACTGGTCGGGTCAGACAGATGACCTAAGATGACCTAGCTCGCCTTTGTGACCCCCCCAAACTCAGGAAAAGTGTGATGGCAGGACGACCCTGGCATGATGGTAATTTAGCCAACCCACAGTTAAAAATATGTAGCGTGAACACGCATACACGCACTCTTATAAACCACACACACACACACACACACACACACACACACACACACACACACACACACACACACACACACACACACACACACACACACACCCTCATTATCTCCGAATATGATTTTATCCCCACCAAAGTCTTGCACTTCTTGACACAGCCAGCAGCACCTCTCATCCTTCCCCAGCTCTCGAACCTAAACCAATCATGTATCCTAAACTGCCATCTTATGGCTCATCAATTACCTCACTACACACAACCCCACGTTCCCCTCATACATACATCCCTTCAGCTCCCTCAACCAGTTCCCTCTCATCAACCCAACCTTCGCACTCTGATATTGCAGAAAGTAATGGAGACTGTGGCGGCTGTATACGATAGCGAATTCAGTATACGATTGGAGTTTTCATCCTGTATGTACTTTGTACGTTACTCTTGTATATTGTGCATTGTACATTGGTGGTTTACACAACTTTTAGGGGAAGCGACTTTCTGCAATAGCTTGTGGGTTTTAAGAAAGCCTAAAAAAATACCTCGATTTTAAAAAACAAGCTTCGATTTCTAACTTTTGCGACAGATATCATCATCTGGTACGATGGTAAACTGTGTGGTCAGAGAGAAAAAAAAAAGACTGGTGATAATCCCAATAAATGTAATATAAACGCTTTAGTGGTCACGAGTCCCCACAGCCGACCCCCCGAAGGATGCCAGCACAGATCAGTGGTCCCAGATCCGAATTGGCAAGTGCTAGCAAATTGGTTCCGCAACGTTGTTGGGCCTGGCAACAGTGGTTGGCAGAACACAGACATTGGTGTCTAAGGGGGACTCATTACTACTCCTACTTAACTTTGTATAATAGGTAACATTTAAATAAAAATAAATCAAGCAAGAAGTTAATAAAAAAAATAACCAAAAACACACTTTTCACACATGCAGCAATATTGATATTATTTCTGTGATGTTCTGTGTTAATGCCGTGTGTCCGGTGCCCTTGTAGAGCCCAGACGACACACCCGTGACAGAGTATGTGAGCGACTTGTTGCACAATGTCGACCACAGTTTAACACGCTCACCTCCAGCGATGACCATAACCGAGTACTGCTTTGTAACCGTTCATTTTTTATACTTTTATCATTTATTATTATTATTATTATTATTATTATTATTATTATTATTGTTATCATTTATATTTTCCTATCTCATAAAAGGTATCCAGATAATTGTGTGCCCCCAACCCCCTTTCCCATCTTTAAGTGCACATTCAAAAAATGTATGAATTTAGTTGTATCCATTTTGTAAATCCTAAATTAAGCTACACTAAAATTTATAAAGTTTTAAATAAAAAATCATCCCTGGTAACCCACCACGTACATTGATGTTAACTTTATACAGTATCATCAGTCGAATTCATTGTATAAATACAACAGTTGTGGGTATTGCAATTAATGAAAGTTAAAACTATTTTTAATGTGAGAGAGCGAGAGAGAGAGAGAGAGAAAGACTTAGCCCCCTTGTTTTATCAGCTCATGTGCACACTCAGTCTGATGTATTTTTTTTATTTAGTATCTTTTTATATTTTTTATTCAACTGTTCATTATATGAATCTTAAAGGAAAGCGACTGAAATGGGTTTTCTTGTTACTGTGCTCTTGTGTTGCCACATTGTAATATTATAAAGCTGTTTTTGGCGTCAGTGGACCCCGTATGGTTAGGTAACTGTGTAGTAGTAAAAATCTAATCGATTTATGAGCTGCTTTCCCTTGTTTATTGTACATAGTGGACGTTCCCCTGTGGCAGTGACTGGGCCGCTCCTCTTCCTGTGACTGCAGTGTAGAGTGACATTTCTACAGTGGTTGTATATTTGTATCCTAAATTCAACTTCTCATGAAGAAAACATTGTTACAACAAAGTTCAAAATGTCTGCAATTCTGTAAAATACATTTTTTAGCTCTTATAATAGAATCATAAGAATTTAGTTGATCCGTTATCGAAATTCTTCTCTCCAGTCTGCATTCAATGAAAGCATTAAATGCTGGGTATTGTGTATATGATTTTTCCAAAAATAAACGTGTTTTAAACTATGGCCTTGAAGAATTCCTTAACCTTTTCTTTCAAAGTTATTTGTAATTATCATCAGAACTCTGATTGGCATATGATTATTACCTATTCGAATAGGTCCTTACCTATTCAAATAGGTCATTACCTATCCAAATAGGTCATTACCTATCCAAATAGGTCATTACCTTTTTCAATAGGTCTTTATCTTTTCAAATAGGTCCTTACCTATTGAAGGAGGGCCTTACCAATCCAAATAGGTCATTTATATGTACAAGAGCACATAAATTATACAATTATACACAAATTTACCTATTCAAATAGGTCCTTACCTATTCAAATAGGTCCTTACCTATTCAAATAGGTCCTTACCTATTCAAATAGGTCCTTACCTATTCAAATAGGTCCTTACCTATTCAAATAGGTAATTTATGTGTACAAGAGCACATGTATAGATTATACAGTAATTATACACATTCATCTATTCAAATAGGCCATTACCTGTTCAAATATGTCCTTACGTATTCGAAAAAGGTCCATATCTATTCATATAGGTCCTGTGTACAAAAGCACATATATAAATTATACAGTAATTTTATACAAATTTACCTATTACAGTAGGTCAATGCCTATTTAAATAGGTCATTACCTATTCAAATAGCGCATTTATGTGTACAAGAGTGCATACAGTAATTATACACAAATTTACCTATTCAAATAGTTCTATTCAAATAGGTCATGTGTACAAAAGCACATATATAACTTATGCAGTAATTATACACAAATTTACATATTTATATTGCTAATTTATATGTATATGAGCGCATATATAAAATATACAGAAATTTACATATTAAAATAGGTAATTAACTATTCAAATAGGTCATTGCCTATCCAACTAGGCCATTACCTATTCAAATAGTTTGTGTACATGAGCGCATATGATGCAGTATTTTACCTATTCAAATTAGGTCATTATATATTCAAATATGTCACTGTCTATTCAAATAGGTCATTACATATTCAAATAGGTCATTACATATTCAAATAGGTCATTACCTATTCATATATTTGTTCTCACATTCAGAGACTACCACACTCCTCAGTATCACTACCAAAACTGGACAAACCACTGCCACAACAACACACCCTGGGTCAGGGTAGAGAGGAGGGAGAACTACCAAAACCTTCCAGAAGTGACACACAATATGGACAATCATTCATATTTGCAAACATTCAAGGTTTAAAGCCAAAGTCAAGAAATAAAGTTAAGTTCATAAATGGCCTCCTATTAGAGTCTAACTCAATATTTGGGGCATTCACGGAAACTCATACAAAAGATTACACAAATTATATACACTATATACTGCATTATATATACACTATACTGCATGATACACTATATTTACCTATTTAAATAACATCAAATCATGTCACCTTGATGTTGCGCTCGATGTTTATTTCCAGCTTGACGTCACGGTAAGAGAATCTGGTAGTTATATTCACAGGTGTCTGCCCTACCTGGACCCGAGAAACTTGATTAATAAAAAGTTTTCTGAAGGTGATGTGTGTGGTTTTTGGCACAAGAGTAGTGGTGGTGGTGGTGGCTCCTCGCAGCCTTAACTTTAATAATAGCCAAGTTGCTCTGAATAAGAATGTACTAATTACTAGGCTCGTTGAGGAGTAACTTTAAATATTCAAGAAGGATAACACAGCCTCAGGCAGGTCCTGAGTGCTTACTCACAGAATGTACCTAGCCGGGCTGATCCTCACACGGTCGCCCGGGGGCTCTAACTCTTGGCCCCCAAATTCTGTTAAGCTAAACACAGGGCGGTTCCATGTGACCGCCTCACTGTTGTATAAATCTCACCGTTACTCTTTTATTTTAACACATTTAGGTACATCTACATTTGTGCAGCTACCCTAGACTATATGAAGGGGAGTACAGTGTGTCAGAAAGCTAGCTACGTTGTGATACAAATCCCCATCTCGCAGGATGGTTAGTCATACTGAGGCATGTGATCAGTAGTCTGCATTAAGCGGCCGGTTCTTAGATAACTCTTGGGGCCCCTAAACGCCTCCTGCTTATATAACACTTTCACTGAGAAAATCTGTAGAAGCTTGAGGATTGGAACCTATCTTCTGGGTAATCCCAAGCAAGCGCCTGCTTAGACAAATATATAAATAAATTAGACAACCAACTAAATCATTGCCGAAACTAAAATTTGTCAATAGCAACGCTTTATTGAACATTTCATGGACTAGTCACCTGTAAGATTTTATAGGAAATATCTATTACATCTAAAGAAATTTATCCGATTTTCAACTCAATAACTAAGAGGTATCTCATTTAATTTATCAATTCCTACAAGAAAGTAAGAGAATCTAAAGTTAAGGTTCTTAATATTCAGTTATGCTAATTATAAGTGTTCCTACTTCCCTGCCCGACTAATTATTTATTTGGTCATTAATGAGACTAATTATCCAAATGACCACTTTTTCTTGCAGAATTCAGCGTGGCAAGTGGAACCTTGGGTGTGAATGTAGAGGGAACTGAACTGAAGATTGTGCAATTTTAATATAGTTTGTTCAGTGAATACACACACACACACACTCTGGTGGCTCAGTGAACAGCGCTCTAGATTCGTGGACCTAGGGACCGGGGTTCGATCCCCACACCCGGCGGAAACAGATGGGCAGAGTTTCCTTCACCCTGATGTCCCTGTTACCTAGCAGTAAATAGGTACCTGGGAGTTAAACAGCTGCTACAGGCTGCTTCCTGTGTGTGTGTGTGTGTGTGTGTGTGTGTGTGTGAGTGTGTGAATACACACACAAGAATCTAAAGGTCTTCATGGGGCAACAACAATGAAAGACTGAGAATGGCAGAAATGAAGGAGACAACCAGTGGAGCAGGACACAACTGAGGCGACGAGACCAGACAGGATATCAACATGAAAACTTGAAAGTGAAAGCCCTGTGTTGGCCACCATTATATATCGCGATTCGTGGAAATGGAAGGGAATGAGGGAGGGAGAGATCGGAAGGAGGGGGATCGGTGAAGGGACGCAAGAGAAGGCAGTAACGAAGAAAGGGAGGGATGAAGATTTAATCTGCAAGTCGAGGCAGCAATCTGGGAGGTGCCAGGGTAAACAACTTCCGCTCGCCACCTTTTTTGCATTTAGAAGAACCAAAGGCGGGTGTGAGCGAGCAACTCGCTTCCCACTTGTATTACAACTTTTGGCTGTTGATGCATTCATTGGCTCGGCCGCGCCAGCAGTCTCCATAATGTAGGCTACTTATCTGCACCTTTATTCAACAAAATACAAGTAGCAGTAATGTTGCGATATGAAGTAGGTAATTCTAAGTAAACACTATAGCTGGCTGTAATGACCTCGTAACCTTACAATGTTGATCAAAGATCTATGGGGACGTTCAAAATGCATACCTGGATAAGCTGCATTGGGTATGGAGGAAATAATTTCCAATATTGCAAAATATCCTCGGGGCGGAAATACACTCAGGGGAATAGATTGAGAATGAGTACATAATTACAGTAGTTCTATTATCTACTCTACCCATGGTTAGGTAAGATTAATGATATACTAGGTTGAGATTTGGTTAGGTTAGGCTTCCACATTTCCAGTTACGTTAATACGGTGTATTATTAACAATATCAAATACGGAGTCTGAAAACTTTTCCAGTGTACTCGAGAATTCCATTTACAGAAAACCAAATTCTCTAAAGAAAACATTTTCAAAACACACTTTTCAATTTTAAACTAACAATTTATAATACAATAAAGCTATAATTTAAGAATAATTTATGTTTAAGACAAAGGTTTCTTCCCAGTTTACATGTAGACTAGTACTGGAACCGTATGGTTTCAGACTATCACAAATATGTAGATAACATCTATATATTTACTATCCAGGTGGTTTGAGGGCGGGGTGGGGGGGGGGAGGGGGCACTGGATTTGGTCTGAGGTCGGGCTCGATGTTAGAGACAAGAACACTATTTTGGTTTATCGAGGGGTCCTACGGCCCCCCCCCCCACGCCACGTGCAAGCTAATTACTGACCTTGCACATGATGCAAGGTCATGATGCAACCCACAATAATTTACTAGCTTTCGGGAACCTATTTTCTGCTTGACGAGAAAGAGGCATCTGGTGGAAGGAAATGTGCTCAACCGTTTCCCTCCAGCCCAGATATTAAACCCGGTTTTCTAGATTATGAGCCGAAGACGAAGACCACTGTGGTACAGGACCTTAAATGTTCAAGATGTAACTTGGTAGTCGAACCCCAGACTCCCCACATTCCCCCACCTGGCCTCGTGTCCACGCTTACACTTGAAGAACTAATTCACAAACGAATGTCATCGTTTAGTGTGAATGGACTCCCCCCCCCCACGGGTGCCAGGGGGGTCCAGGGACGCCCCCCACGGATGCCAGGGGTCCAGGGACGCCCACGGGTGCCAGGGGTCCAGGGACGCCCCACGGGTGCCAGGGGTCCAGGGACGCCCCACGGGTGCCAGGGGTCCAGGGACGCCCACGGGTGCCAGGGGTCCAGGGACGCCCCCCACGGGTGCTAGGGTGTCCACGGACGCCCCCCCACCAGTGCCAGGGGGTCCAGGGGACACCCCCACGGGTGCCAAGTGAGCCAGGGACGCCCCCACGGGTGTAAGGGGGTCCAGGGACGCCCCCCACGGGTGCTAGGGTGTCCACGGACGCCCCCCCCCACCAGTGCCAGGGGGGTCCAGGGGACACCCCCACGGGTGCCAAGTGAGCCAGGGACGCCCCCACGGGTGTAAGGGGGTATCGGGACGCCCCCACGGGTGCCAGGGGGTCCAGGGACGCCCCCACGGGTGCCAGGGGGTCCAGGGACGCAGGCTCGAGTCTTGGGGAAATATATCTTAAGAATAAGTGCTGTATGTAGCGGTGTAGCGGGTCTACAGGACAGCCTGATTTTTGGCCGCTAGCGGCGAAAATCGCCCGATTTTGGGGCCGCTAGTGGCGACAATCGCCCGATTTTTGGCCGCTACGGGCAAAAATACCCCGATTTTTGGCCGCAAGCACCAAAAATCGCCACAGTTCTGCCTCTAGCGTCGAAAATCGCCCGATTTTAGGCCGCTAGGGTAAAAAATCGCCTGATTTTTGGCCGCTAGCGGTGAAAATAGCCCGATTTTTGGCCGCTAGAGGCGAAAATTGAACGATTTTTGGCCGCTAACAGCGAAAATCGCCCGATTTTTGGGCCGCTAACGGCAAAAATCGCCCGATTTTTGGCCGCTAGCGGCGAAAATCTCCAGATTTTTGGCCCGATAGTGGCGAAAATCACCCGATTTTTGGCTGCTAAAGGCGAAAATCGCCCGATTTTTGGCCGCTACCTGCAAAAATCGCGCGATTTTTGGTCGCTAGCGGCGAAAATCGCCCGATTTTTGGGCCGATAGTGGCGAAAATCACCCGATTTTCGGCCGCTAGGGGCGAAAATCGCCCGATTTTTGGCCGCTACCTGCAAAAATCGCGCGATTTTTGGTCGCTATCGGCGAAAATCGCCCGATTTTTGCCCCGTAGTGGCGAAATTCGCTCGACTTTTGGCCGCTACCGGTGAAAATCGCCCGAGTTTTGGCCGCTAGCGGCGAAAATCGCCCGATTTTTGGCCGCTAGCGGCGAAATTCGCCCGATTTCTGGCCGCTAGCGACGAAAAACGCCAGATTTTTGGTAGCTAGCGATAAAAATAGCCCGATTTTTGGCCGCTAGCGGAGAAAATCGCCCGATTTTTGGCTTGTAGCAGCAAAAATCGCCCGATTTTTGGGCCGCTAGTGGCGAAAATCGCCAGATTTTGGGCCGCTAGGGGCGAAAATAGCCCGTTTTTTGGCTGCTAGTGGCGAAAATCGGTCGATTTCTTACCGCTAGCGGTGAAAATCGCCCAATTTTTGGACGCTAGCGGCGAAAATCGCCCGATTTTGGGGCCGCTAGTGGCGAAAATCGCCCGATTTTTGGCTGCTACCTGCAAAAATCGCGTGATTTTTGGCCGCTAGCGGCGAAAAACGCCAGATTTTTGGCCGCTAGCGGTAAAAATAGCCCGAGTTTTGGCCGCTAGCGGCCAAAATAGCCCGATTTTTGGCCGCTAGCGGCCGCCCTAGCGGCGAAAATCGCCCGATTTTTGGCCACTAGCGGCAAAAATCGCCCGATTTTTGGCCGCTAGCGGCGAAAATCGCCCGATTTTTGGCCGCTAGCGGCGAAAATCGCCCGATTTTTGGCCCGCTAGCGGCGAAAATCGCGCGATTTTTGGCCGCTAGCGGCGAAAATCGCCCGATTTTTGGCCGCTAGCGGCGAAAATCGCCCGATTTTTGGCCGCTAGCGGCGAAAATCGCCCGATTTTTGGCTGCTACCTGCAAAAAACGCGTGATTTTTGGCCGCTAGCGGCGAAAATCGCCCGATTTTTGGCTGGTAGCGGCGAAAATCTCCAGATTTTTGGGCCCCTAGTGGCGAAAATCGCCCGATTTTTGGCCGCTAGGGGCGAAAATAGCCCGTTTTTTGGGTGCTAGTGGCGAAAATCGGTCGATTTTTGGCCGCTGACGGTGAAAATCGCCCGATTTTTGGACGCTATCGGCGAAAATCGCCCGATTTTTGGCCACTAGCGGCGAAAATCGATCTATTTTTGGCCGCTAACTGCGAAAATCGCCCGATTTTTGGCCGCTAGGAGCAAAAAACGCCCGATTTTTGGCCGCTACCTGCAAAAATTGCGCTACTATTCTATTCAAAATTGGGCTACTTTCGCTACTTTGAACCCCAAATTTGGGCTACTTTCGCTACTTTGTAGCCCAAATTTGGGCTACTTTCGCTACTTTGTAGCCCAAATTTGGGCTACTTTCGCTACTTTGTAGCCCAAAATTGGGCTACTTTCGCTACTTTGTAGCCCAAATTTCTGCTACTTTCGCTACTTTGTAGCCCAAATTTGGGCTACTTTCGCTACTTTGTAGCCCAAATTTGGGCTACTTTCGCTACTTTGTAGCCCAAATTTGGGCTACTTTCGCTACTTTGTAGCCCAAAATTGGGCTACTTTCGCTACTTTGTAGCCCAAAATTGGGCTACTTTCGCTACTTTGTAGCCCAAAATTGGGCTACTTTCGCTACTTTATAGCCCAAAATTGGGCTACTTTCGCTATTTTTGGCCGCTAGCGGCGAAAATCGCCCGATTTTTGGCCACTAGCGGCGAAAATCGCCCGATTTTTGGCCGCTAGCGGCGAAAATTGCCCCATTTTTGCCCGCTAGCGGCGAAATTCGCCCGATTTTTGGCCGCTACCGGCGAAAATCGCCCGATTTTTGGCCGCTAGCTGCGAAAATCGCCCGATTTTTGGCCGCTAGCGGCGAAAATCGCACGATTTTTGGCCGCTAGCGGCGAAAATCGCCCGATTTTTGGCCGCTAGCGGCGAAAATCGCGCGATTTTTGGCCGCTAGCGTGCGAAAATCGCGCGATTTTTGGCCGCTAGCGGCGAGAAATCGCGCGATTTTTGCCCGCTAGCGGCGAAATTCGCGGGATTTTTGCCCGCTAGCGGCG